CCAAAAAGAAATAAAAAGTTTCAGAGAAAAGTTGAGACATAAATGATCAATTCAGAAAGACCAATGTCCACTTAGTAAGAGTTCCGGCAGGAATAGAGAAGGTGGAGGATGGAATGAATCATGAGATAACAATAATGTTTCTCAGAGCTGAAGAATGACATGATTCTTCATGAGGAGAGAGACCACAGAGGGTCAAGCAGGATGAATGAAAAAGATCTGTACCTAGATATAGCCTCATGAAATTTCAGGAAAGAAAAAAAAATGATGGATAATAAGAAGGGTCTAAAATCTTTTAGAGAGAAAAATCATGCACACTGATGCCAAGTTCCCAGTGGGATTAGAATTCTCATCAGCAACATTGCCTGCTAAAAGACAAGGAAGTCATGCATCCGTGTTCTCAGGGACATTTACTTTAAACTTAGAATTCTGTATTCAACCAAATTATCAATTAAGTATGAGAGCAAAATAAACACATTCCTCAACACGCGGGGAACTTTGGAAATTTACTTCCCAAGCACTCCTCAAGAAAAATGTTCCTTGAGAATGGGCAGCAGTACAGTGAAAAAGAAATCTAGGGGCCAAGTGCAGTGGCTGATGCCTGTAATCCCAGAACTTTGGGAGGCTAAGGCAAGAAGATCAATTGCTTGAGGCCAGGAGTTCAAGAGCAGACTGGGAAACATAGCAAAACCCTCTCTAAAAAACAAACAAACAAACAAAAACCCCTAAAAATTCGCTGTGTACACAACTATGGTCCCAGCTACTCTGGAGGCTGAGGTGTGAGGATTCCTTGAGCCCTGGAGTTGGAGGCTGCTGTGAGCCATGATTGAACCACTGCACTCCAGCCTGAGAAACAGAGCAAGATCTCAAAACAAACAAACAAACAAACAAACAAACAAACAAACAAAAAACCTAGGAAAAAGGATCTACGAAAGACTAAAATAAATGAAAATAATTCTTCTAAATAAATAAATAGGACAATCTAAAACAGTAATTGTGCAAGATATCTACAAAAATTTCAGTATACAAGGAGACTCAAAAAATTCATTGACAAATAAAATGAAAAGATAAAAATAAAAAATATAAATGTTATTCCCAACATAAGTTCCATCAAGGTCAACACTTTTGAAAGTTATGATACCAGCCTTTGAGTTCATATCTAAAGAGCTGAGGGTCCTTGGAATTTCATCATGCCAATGCAGTCTCTTTTTGTGTTATTAACTGAAGGAGAATGGGTACTTTTTCAGATTTTTTTTTAAGATTAGGAAACAAAAAGAAATCAGGAATCAAATCAGGACTGTACAGTGGATGCCTGATGATTTTCCACTGAGACTCTCACAAAATTGTCCTTGTTTGATGAGAGGAATGAGCAGGAGCATTGTCGTGGAGGAGGAGGACTGTCTGATGAAGTCTTCCTCAGCAATTTTCTGCTAAAGCTCTGGGTTACTTTCTCAAAATACTCTTGCAATAAGCAGATGTTATTGTTCTTTGGCCCTCCAGAAATAGAACAAGCAAAATGCCTTGAGCATCCTCCAAACTGTTGCCATGACCTTTGCTCTTGACTTGTTCACTGTTGCTTTGCTTTGATGGACTCCTTCTACCTCTTGGTAGCCATTACTTTGATTGTGCCTTGTCTTCAGGATGGTACCAGTGAAGCCATGTTTCATCTTCTGTTACAGTCATTTGAAGATATGCTCCAGGATCTTGATCCCACTTGTTTAAAATTCCACTGAAAGCTCTGCTCTTGTCTGTAGCTGATCTGGGTGCAATGGTTTTGGCACCCATCGAGTGGAAAGTTGGATCGATTTTAATTTTTCAGCCAGAATGGTGTGAGCTGAACCCATTGAGATGTCTGTGCTGTAGCCCTTGTTTCTTCTGTTAATCATCAGTCCTCCCCAATTAGGGTGTGAACAAGATTAGTTCTTCCTCATGACTTGATGTGGGGGCTTCATCTTCAGCATTGTCTTGCCCCTTCTCAAAATGAATTGTCCATTTGTAAACTGTTGATTTCTTTGGGGGCACTGTCCCCATAAACTTTTTACAAAGCATCAATGATTTCACCATTATCCCACTCAAGTTTCACCATAAGTTTGATGTTGGTTCTTGCTTCAAGTTTAGCAGAATTCATGTTACTCCAATAGGGGCTTTTTACAAACTGATGCCTTAGCCTTCTTAGTGCTTCAAACTGGATCCTGATCAGAAGTGTTATAACCAGTTCACATGAGTCTATTTTGGTGCAAAAAAATTTTAAATCCATGCATGTTTTTTCAAAATATGCATTTTCCATGAGCTTTTTGAAATCCCTTCCTATATCTGAGCTTTCAGTAAAGACCCTGGCTAGCTAGTGGAAAGATGTGAGCTGCTAAAAGAACTGTTGAAGTACTGGATGGAACTAATTTTTAAGCCAGATCCATCTGGAAGTCTTATTTGGTCAAAAATGGTCATTTCTAAGCAGCTCAACTAGGAAGGGAGTGAGCAGGGGCTACATGCGTGTGCTTAATTTTCAGTGCGTGCCCCTCTATCTGGCAAATGTCTATTTCCACCACCGTGCAATTCTTTCATAATAAACATAAAATCATTTCTACAAGAAGTTTGTGCATGTGCATATGCATGTGTGTGCATGTGCGTGTGTGCATGTGTGTGCATATGCATGTGTGTGCATATGCATGTGTGTGCATATGCATGTGTGTGCATGTGTCTGCATGTGTGTGTGCATGTGCGAGTGTGTCTGTGCACATGTGTGTGCATGCATATGTTTGTGTGCACCATTGAACAATACCAGGGCAGAGCTGATCAATTCTCTTACAGCCCTGTATTCAAGCAGTCGAGCGACCATAGCATGAAGCTGCAGTGTGGTCCCAGGTCACACACCCAAACTCCTCGGGTTTAGAGAAAAACCCCTTTTATCTGGAAAGCATCTTGTTTTTCTTTGGGGCCTCTCCTCCATGATAGTAGGAAAGGTAAAACTTTTATCTCTGGCTTAAAATTTAGTCCAATTCAGTAATTGATGAGTCCTTTTCGATATGCTCAGTCTTTCTGGATTAAAATGTTGAGTCTTTCTTACAGCCGTCTCTTCCCTTAGCTTTGCCCCCTCAGATGGTTCCTGATTGTGCAGGAGGAGAGTGGCTCATAGGGCCTGGAGGATGCCTTGGGGTCCCAAGCCTCTGTCCCCTGGTTCCTGGGTCTCTAGGACAATGACCCTTCCTTGCCTGATTATGCTGGCCCTGCTGGAATTCATGCTGATTTCCAGCTTGGGTACAACTCACAGTCTGCTTTCTCTCAGCTTAGCTGAGTGTCTGGCATATTCCTATCCAGCCTGGAAGTCCACCTGCTGTCTCTGAGAAGGGGTCACATCGCAGGATCTCAGCTCACTGTCATTGCACCGGGAACTTAAAAGCAGCTTGGGAAAGCCTGTGCTTCAGACCTCTCTGCAGAACATGAAGTGGCACTCAGTGTTTGCAAGGGCTGCCCAAGACGCATGTCTGGCCCTGCCCCACTATCCCCTCTGTCTGCTCCGTGCACCCACTGGGAGGAGTCCAGTACACCTATCTCTCCCCCTGGGGAACCTGAGACAGGAAGGTGGTATCTACCTCTGGTGCATACATCCGTGGGCGGACAGACATGTGCATGGTTTTTCCATCTGAACAGACAACTGGAGTAGCCCCTGAGATGGGGATTCTCTTGTGAGTGATTTATTGAGGGGTGCTCTCAGGAGCAGGAAAGTGACGGGAGGGAGAGAGCAGAGAGGGACAGCTGGACTGGGATCTCCGGAGTGTGAATTGCCTGTTGGGTTGATGGGCTCCACCATCTGAGTTGCGGGCTGCCTGGAGGCGGTGTGTGTAACATCCTCTCCAAACAGGGTCACTTGGAGCTGAGATCATCTTAGACACAGGGATGGCAGCAGCAGGGGTCCATGCTGCCGCTGCAGGATCAGATGCGGTTCGTTAAATCAGTTCCATTTTTGGAATTGTCAGCTTGGCTTGCTTCGCTGCCCTTTCCTCACTATTGTCCCCCATATGCCTGCATATGCCTCCCAGCGCTCTCCATCTTCCGTGGTTCTTCCCCCTACAAACTCTAGCCATTTATAGTAGCTTAAGGGTTGCCTGCATCCCCCCAAGAGATCAAAAAATGGGGAGGAAAGAAGGCCGAGGTCGTGCCTTGGTCTCTATGCTGTGTTAGAAGCCATTGCTGGATTGCATAGAGAGTGAAATGGAATGAGAGAGGGAACTCAGCGGAGGACATGGTTCTGTCTCTTAATGATCCCTCCTTCACTAGGGCAGCCCCTCTCCCTTCCCTCCCCTCCTGAGAGCAATCTCAGCCAGTGGCAGCTGCCTTTAACTCCGGGAAAATCATTCCTTATCAGTGAAACAGTCACACGCTTGGGACGGCAAGAAAGCATTTCACAAACTATTGATCTGAGAATTAATATATTGCTTTTTTCCCAGATGCCACACCTCACTGCTGTGGTATATATTAATACCCCCTAAAATAGCATCAAGAGCAAAACAGAACCTTACAGGCCTTTAATTATGTTTTATGTACTTTATACTTTTATGTGGTTATCGCTCTCTCTGCCTCTGCAAGCTCATGCCTCTTAATTTCAGATTGTTTCCACACCATCTCCCTATGCAGAGATGATTCCAGAAAGGCATCAGTGTGTCTACATTATCCCACACCGATAAAAAATAGCCTACCGAGAAGGTCCATTTACTTTCTTGTGTGCTGAATACCTTCAATGACCCCTGACTTGTTGGTTGTTTTTTTATTAAAAATTTTTTTTACAGAAAGCATGGCTTATATCCAGGAGGAAAATACTTTCCATCTGTAGGCTGGTAATATATGTTCAACAGTTTTCAATTGCTTGAGCTATGAAATAGATGATAGCCATCTATATCTCATGGGGGAAAAAGATACCTCGAAATTCACTCCACCACGGAGCTGGTGTGGAGGCGTTTCTGCCTGAAATGTGCAAAACGATCGTACACTCACAAGAATACCACGACTAAAACGAAACTTAGGGCTTTTTCATCTAAGCCTTGAGGACAGCTCCAGGTGGTCCCATACAGACACTGTTTTCTACACAAGGCAGATGGATGTTGAGGGGATCGCAGCAGCACTGACGGCTGTATGCTGTCTGTATTTCCTTTCCAAGGGGAGAGAGGACAGTCTCCGAAACTTGACCACCATTTTCTTTCCCAGTTAATCAACATTAGGGTAATTGGCACGTTACATCCATTTACAGTGTGGCGTATGGGCTTGTGGCTCTCTATAAATAATGAAAAAATCACAGTAATGACCAGAAATGTGTGTGAGACATCGTGGCACGCGTGTAATGGATGCTTTGTTTGTCTTTGGAGACTGTGTTACCAGCATGTAACTGATGAGGCTCTAAAACGCTCTAGGTTACCTGAGGCCTGGAAGGTGCTCCATCACGTCCGCGTCTGCTCCCCTCTGCTGGGAACTTAACAGTGGTCCAATATTTGCTTTCGGTTCCCCCTGTTTAAAGATGGAAAATATTTAGCCCTGCTCATCAATCACCATGCCTGCCAATTGCTTTTTCTCCTCCCTTCGCTTTTTGAGGAAGAAACTGGAAACACTCATGCCGTATAAACAGCTTTGAGTTATGTCTGTTTTTAGCGCACAATGTTTGAGTAGGAAAGTCAGGGCTCATTAAAAATACGAATGTTGCAGCTTATAGAATTGGCCACTTTAAACACAGTCGTCCACACACCAATGGTTCTCAAACTGTTTTATAGTAGTCTGGGTTTGTTTATGAGGCATCTCTCAGTATCTACGTGTATAACACACTCAGTGTATTTCCCTAAGGTTCTGCTGGGCACAGGGGTACTCACACAATCACTCCAGCCAAGGAAGAAGTAAACATCCTGTGATTAAAGTGAAAGCCAACTGTCACTTTATCAGTGTGGACACCGATATGTGACGGTTACGTTGCAACTATTTAGAAGAATTTCATGAATCTCTGAGCTCGCACATACTTACGCTTTTAAACTTTAGTCTTAGACTATTTTGCATCCTGTAAAATCAAGTACCTTGTTAGCTGCTTGCACCCAAACGGTGCATAGCATGTTTGAAAATCGATGTGTTTCTGACCTTTGATTTTCTCAAAAGAATTGTGTCTATTTGAAATGTTTGTGCTAATAGCTGAGATCAGAGTGTAAGAACACAGAGAGAAATGGCAGGTCTGCCAGGAAAGGATTAGCTGAGGGAGTAAACAGGAGGAAGGGAAACTTTACATGGAGGTCAGACAGGTCGCGCTGGGGAAAGAAAAGAATGATTAGAAGTGAGAGGAGTGGCTGGCCTTGGTGGCTCACGCCTGTAATCCCAGCACTTTGGGAGGCTGAGGCAGGTGGATCACTTGAGGCCAAGAGTTCTAGACCAACCTGGCCAACATGGTAAAACCCTGTCTCTGCTAAAA